ATTCTATATTCGAGAAACAGATTTCACTTATCTGCTCGCCAAATGGGGAGTACTTTTTTTCTATTTGAAATTGCATACGGTGATTGAATTACAATTCTATTTTGAATGCTTTTCCGAGGAAAAAATGTGAATAGAGTAAACATTGAATTCTTTTTTTTTTTTTTGGTAAATTGAATGAAAATTAATAATGGCATCAAGTATTTATGTTCAAGATTTGTTTTACTTCTACGTTTGAGGATATTTTTGGAAGATTCTTCATAATGTTTTTACTCACTTGTTTTACTAAAACTAGTGTTTTTAGTTAACGCAATGGATGAATAATCCTTTAAAACTTGAAAAGTTTAATCCACATGAATCATCTTTCTGGGTGCTATTAAAAGTTATCTAATTGTTATTAATCACTTTTAAAACTTAATGTTATACCCAACCTGTCTTATTTCTAGAGTGATTTTGATGTAACATGAGAGGCTAGAACACGTTTTCAAGATTTAACACCAATAATTTTTTATCAAATGCCTGGCCATTGACCAGCACGTCATTAGGCAATTAACACCAATAATATACTTACGAACAATACAATTAACACAGTGTTAGCATTAATACAAGCATAGGTAGGATTGAAATGAAATTTATAATTGAGATAATGATAAAGATAAAATATATATAATTGATCCAAGAAACTAGATAATTATATCTCCAATGAGTGATGAGTCCGTCGCACTGTTCAGCTACACGAGGGCCTTTGGCTACGGACCACGTAATTTTGAACCATGGTCAAGTGACGTTCTCTAAAATGATATACACAAACTCTTCAATATCACGTCCAACCACCTCGTATTACGACTAATGCCATAACACAGATTTCTTATTGAATTAAATTAACATCTGATGCATTAAGACAGACCCAAATATTTGATCAATTTCTTTAAATCATGCATAGATGCATCTGATGCTTGCTCTAGAAGGCCTTATAGAAGAGTTGTATGGAAGAGAGCAGGCCTTTGAAGAATTTAAACTGAGCGTATGAAATTTTGAGCCACTCTAATATGCATTGTGCATGTGAATGTGCATTTTCTTGTTGGTAAATTACATCTGAATTATTGGTAAGGAATGGGAAATCATGAAGGCGCAGAATTTTATCCACATACCACTTAAATGTTAAGATATCACCTTCATATCGTAGGCTATAACCTTACAGATCATTTCATTTCCATCGGGGATACTGTGTTGATTGATAGAAAAAGAGTGGAACTATATCGTTTACAAGGATTGCATCACACCTGTACACGCTAACTATCTATAAAACGAAATATCATTCCTCACTTAACACCATAATTTGCTAATCTGTGACATTTCATGTCGTTTTAATGTGGGACTTCTGTAGAGTCGTCAATGTTTGCGTGTTAAAAGCAGTACACGTAAAAGATATACTGCAAATACAGACAGGGACGTCTAAGGCATCTTAATCCAACCTCGGTGGGGTCCTCGTATAGTTCCCGACTCAGCCTGAATATGATCATAATTTTAATAATTTTAATGATTGAATGTTATTTTTGTATATATTCTCCGAAAGAATGGGGATTCCAAACTACAAGCCAACTGGCAACACTGGCAAAACTTCATTATTAGGGGGAAAACCGTTGTCAATGTCTAAGCATAAACCTACCCCCATAAGCCATCATTACTCATTCAATCAAAATGCGGCAGTTGGTCGACGTTATTTGTGCCTCGGTTTGTGAGATTGTGTCATGCACATTATTTGCTTCAGATAACCGTTTGTACGAGTATTTTACAATGTATGTCATATAGTATCTACTTTTAAGAGCCACAGGTAGGGCTTACATTTATATAAGGGCGCAGGTCCACAATAAGTCGTAAGATGACTCTGGGCCCAGGTCCTCAAGAATTCTCAAGATGTCTCAGAATACAGATTCACTTCCGCAATGCGCCTACAAATGGTTCGTGGACAAACAAAAACCCTACTGCAGCTTCTTTAGTGGAACGAGTCACTGCTGGATTCATTAGCGCTTCGTACACAACCCTTGGGCCATCTGGCCTCATCATCACTCTGATAATTCTGGACTAGGTATATCAAATGTGGGTACCATCACGTATATGATACTCCAAATAACATGTTCTGATGGTCCATGCATAGAAAATCGACTTGGCAAGTATCCTGCAATCTTCAGGCCTATAATGAGATACTTCGCAAAATCAGTTAATTGGAGGAAATTTATTCTTCTACGTCTACTTAGAATTTGCATAGTTTAGTTCTCCTACCATTGACATGTGACCATATTTTTGCATTTTGCACTGTGTCCTGATTGTCCAGGCCGCGTTGCTTAATCGGACTGCAGCATGTGTGTGTTCATACACAAGTGAACCATATTTGTATCTTTTGTACCCCATACCTCACTCTGCTTATATGTATAATTTCAATAATTGTGTGTTCATTGTGTTGCTAAATTCCTTATCCCTGAATGTACAAATAGTAGCAAACTCTAGATTTGGAATCTATCTATTGAATAGGGGATTAAATGAAGTTTCCCCATAATCAGTAATCATGAAGGTGCTTTAGATAATATTTCTAGTGAAGTTTATAATATCAGGATTGAACCTAAATATAATTGAGTTTACATCGGGAGCAGTTTAATGAGAGGATTTTAGATTATAGCATCGAGATATTAAAAAAAAAACATATTCAAAGGCTAGACTCCGTCTGGTCTGAGTTACTAGTAATATTTTAGAAAGATTAATCTATCACTTTTGATCGATTTCTTGATTAATTCCTAAGGAAATAAATTTAACTAGATATCCTTTGATCTGCCATCTCAAGTCTGGACTACAAGTCATGAAAATTCCATTGATATATATTAAAAAATAAATATATATCCAAATGCATTTGAAAATGAAATAGTACATTTTTATGAAGTTTAAAATAAGATAATGATTTCGCAAAGAATGTTTCACCTAAAAAAATATACATATCAAATGGTATTTCGAAATAAAGTGTGCAGCATTCAAGATTTTGAAGTAAAATAATAATTCGATTATACTGTTCTATTTAGACCTATTATTCCATCCAAGTGAACAAAAATTTGATTTAAACAAAGCCTTCAATACCATTTTTATTTCAGCGTACTGGCATTTATGGTAGTTTAAGAAAGTTTTGTAACTAGATTCTGACAGCAATTCGGAAAGATAGTTGTTGGTACCTAGTACACTTCCGCTATTGTGTCTTGTCGCGCCCTCTACAACTTATCACTTCTACAAGTTCCCTCATACTGAGCGGACGTACCATCCT